TTTTTAAAACTTGTACATTTGCTGTGTCTTTTTCACTTTCCTACAAAAACTATATATTACTTCTGTAATGAGTCTGATGGTATGCCTGTTTGTCTATCTGTGTCTGTAAGGAATATCCTACTTTGGCTCCTCATCCTCATTTGAATCCCCCTCTTCTATGCTGGGGATTGAACTAAGATCCCACGCATGCTAAGCAAGCACTCTGCCACTGAACATGCCCAGCCTCTCACTCAGAATTGATCCTAGCATTTTGATTAAAGTTGTTGCCAACTGATTAGGGCAGATGTGAAATGCTTTTCTGTTGTAGAGCATACTCCTGGTCCCCCTTCTCCTGCCATCAGCTCCTGCTTCTTAACTTGTTCTTTTAGAATCCTACTGGCAAACTATTGGCTCCATCTCCCATAATGCTGCCCAAGAGGCTGTCACCACTACCATGACAGTGGTCAAGCCAGGCTCCTATGTTCTCGCTCTAGCCACTGACTCCAAGTTGCTAACAGTGCAGCCAGGAACTCAGGACTTGGTCCAGGACCTCAAAGGTTGATGCTGCTTACCAGTTTATGATAATAGTGACAATGCTCTGGGGACTACAATAGGAGGAGGGTAGAAATTGGAAAAAGAACCTGAGGAAGAGTAGAATGCCCAACTGAGGAAACTATCTGGAGGCCACATTTATGAGACGAGAGCTGGTCTGAGCCACCACAAAAACCAATTCCTCTGGGAGCTTCTCTCAGCCCCACCAATCTCACCACATTCTTATCACAAGCTCAGAACCCAGATCCTGTCTCCACTAGGTCCCACATACTTACAGTCTCAGGAGTATCCTTGTTTGCCTTCTGTCTCCGGAGATCTGCCTTAATGAAAGCTGAGATAAAAAAGGAAACATGTCAAAGGTAGAGTCATCAAGCAAGTCCATTGGTCAAGTTCATTCAAGCGAAGGAATCCTCATTTTCCTAAAGGTCACAGAGATACCCCAATCCTACTTTAGAGTGTCAAGATGGAGCTGGACCCAATACCCAACCCCCCCAAAAGTCTGGGATCACTGCTGTTCCTGATAGGCAGAAGCCAGTAATGACACTTGCCTTAACTCAAGGGGCTTTTATACTTGCTAGGAACTTTACACACTTTGCTCTAACCATCACCAGCAATCCTTACTTTACAAATTAGGAAAGTGAGGCCCCCAGAGCTTCATCCACTTGCTCAAGATCAGAGGCCATAGAAGTCAACATTGGTCTGATACCAAAGCCCATGCTCATTCCACCAAACCATGCAACTGCCCCACCCCAAACAGATGTCCTATCAAGCTCTCCTGTCTGTTCCCCACATGTGAACTTCCCATGGCTTCATCAGTCAAGGCAGGTGTCAAATGACCAACACCCTTGTCCATGAGCAGCCTGAGCCTTGGGTTGCTCTCAGGTCTCCCACTCACCAGTGAGGGCTGCTCCAAGGGCAAGGAACACACATAGGAAGATGTTCCCAGGCATGGTTCCATAGTTGTCAATAATCTGGCCTTGGGAGATGGTGAAAATGATCCCAAATACCTGGAAATATATAAGGAAGACTGGAAACAAGGGCTTAATCAACTAGGCCATGGGGAGTAGTGAGCTGCCATATTGCAACGCAAGCATAAACAAGCAGAAACCAAGAGAAAATGGGCCCTACCTGTGCAGACACATTGAGGAGACCAGATGACATGCCTTCTGATTCTGGGTACGTGAGCTCCACAGCAAACTCAAATACCAGGGGAAGATAGCCCATCATGAAGAAGCTAAAGTCCAGATCAGAGAGCAAAGTGATGAAGAGCTTCCAGAACAAGAATGGGTACCATCTTTTACCCTAGATTCCCTCTCCTGCTTTTCTTTTCCCATCAGATAACTGTCCATTTTCTAAGATGTTCTACCAAAGAAGGGAGATCTCTGTAGACTCGAAGGCCTTGTATGCAGTGGGCCTCTAAGGCCCTCCATGTGTTTCCCTCCAGCCGCAATGACAGGTCAGCATTTATGGAAGGGCAAGAGTGCTTAGCATGTTTCACTTTCAGCTGAGCATATGTGTCCTGCATCCACAGGCCCTGGGTTGGAAGGAAGGAGACGTCTCTGGGTATTGGGAAGCATCTCCATGGCTCTCTGGAAGAGGAGCTTGGAGTCCTCATTTCCCTCAGAGAAGAGCCATCTGAGAAAGACTGAGAGGCCCTAGCACACTCATTCTGCCTGAAGGAAAGTAACTGTGCGGTAGGGCTCAGCCTGCAGAAGGGCTATTCTCTGTGTGTTTTCTCATGAAACAGGTCTGAAAATGCCAGTTCTAACTTCTTCCATCTGCACCTTGCTTCTCTGCATCTTCACATCATAGTCTGTCTCATTCCTTCCAGCAGCCCTACAAGGTAGGCCACACTTACCTTCAGTTTCAGATGAGGAGACCAAAGCTCAAGCATTAGGAGACAGGGCTGTGGTCTAACAGTAATTGACAACAGAACTGGACCCAGAACTTAAGATTCTCAGCCCTGGGTACTTTCTATGATTCCATGTTGACCTAAGCAAAGCCAAGAGACACTATGCATTCCCCATTACCCCAGAAGTCTTAAAGGGCATAATTCATGCTTCATTCTAGTCCAACAGGATAGCCTGGCTATCTAATGTGCTTACAAGAATTAACAAAACCCCTTGGCACCTTTTCCACATCTCCTGAGGCCAGCAAGGAGCCAACAAAAGGGCTGTGCATTGTATCTTAGGCTACTGATCACTCTGGGAACCCCAGGATGTGTTTTCTAATTAAACAGGTCAGAGGTGAACTTACCCCAGTGTACCAGCAGTGATGAACACTACCCACAGGCGTTGCAGGTTCAAGGTATATGTATACACTACCATGCCCACCAGAGTCATGATGTACACCACCAGGGTTGTCTCCCTATGAGAAGATACAAAGACGTTGAGTCACATATTCCTACTTTAACAGCATTTATCATTCATCTTCATTCCACAAGGATCTGCTAGCATGTGCTCTATGTCCAGCTGGCACATCTGCTTTCGTAGAACCATCTGTCCATGCAGGAGAGGAACACTAAGCCAATAATTAAATAATTATTTAATCACACCATGATCAATGTTAGAAAGGGTAAAACTAGGTCAAAATGGAGCCATCTTGTTATGTGTCTTCCTACATAGCCCCTTCCATAAGCTGCCCCTAACCTGTCATGTTCTATCCCAGGTGGGAATAGCACAGCCCTTTCCTTCTGTCTCCCACCAAAAAAGAAAAGGAGATGGGGTGATTAAGAAGACAAACTAGCCATAGTCAAGGCAGTTGTGGTCAAGACCACCTTACAACTTTCAGCTCCATTTGTTAGCTTTACTCCAAGACCCCATGGCAATGCTGAGCAGTGGTCCAACTTTTCAAAGCTCTGGTATCGCTAAGTTCTTCCTGTGGTCACCTGTGTAGCTGAGCAGCTTTTCCTCTTAAATTTGCACCTCTCTGCTCCAGTCAGTGGAACTGTGAGAGAACACTCCCCAACCCTGGGCTAAGTGCTTCACTCCAAAGCCAAAGGGAAAAGCTGCTGCAGACTCCCTGCTGTTTTTCTCTTTGTGCTGGGTTCAATGTCAGACTCACTCCTGACATGCCCCTCCGCACACTCCCTTCCTGGTATTGGCCACCCAGGACTCTGCTGTGGCCCTGATTCGTGTAGACAGACCTGTACTATGCTCCCTGTACACTCCCTGTAGGGTACAGGCTTAGCATACCCTTCCACCCTTCTGTATCAGGGTTCAGATGATGACAGCTCAAAGCCGTCATGTGTCTCCCCTGAAGCGAGGAACATGGTGGGATACCAGCAGGCACACTGGTACATCGAACTAACACTTTTATTGGATACAAGATTCTGTTCAACACTTTACAAGTGTTTATAGTTGAAACTTAACCTTTACAAAGATCCTGTAAAAAATCTCTGGCTCTTCCTAATTTTATCAATGAAGAATACAGAGGTCAGTTATTTTTCCATTTGCTAACTGAATAAATGTAGAGGGGGAATTTGAACCCAGTGCTGGCTTTGGGAATCTTAGCACTGTCTCAGGCTACAAACAGGAATAATAATCTACTGTGCAGTTGCATTTTTGGAAGAGGTCAAGGCCACAGTTTCCAGAGGATGCCATTCCCACCTGGTACTGAGAACCAGGAGCCTCCTTCCTTCACCCTGCTCTGCCCTCTCCAACCCCACCTCCCTACAGAAAGCAGTGTCATGAAGAAGAGTCTTTCTCGGTGATTCCACAACTCAACAAATATTAAACTTTTTTTTGCCATGTTTGTGTAACTGTAGCTCTATTCTCATAGACTGACTACTTTAGAAAAACTATTCCTGGTTCCACCCTGAAGTAAACAGACTGCAACCCCAGTTTTCAGCCTCCAAACCAAAGTGGACAAATCCAGGAGTTTGAGGAAGAAAAGAACTGGCTGATGGCTGGTTCTGGACATAGAGTCATAGCAGAACTGGCCAGTCTAGCTTCTGAAGAGAGCTGAGCAAGTTTTCCCAGGCCTTTACTACATTTTCTAATTCATCTGAGTCATCTGGCTGCCCACGTCCCAGCCCAGCCAACATTCCAATCCCTCCCTTCTCCTGCTGCAGGGCAGGCCCTGGAAGAAGGGACACTGCTGCCCATTGGTCTGGGGGTGGCCGGCCCTCAGTGCCCCAGCTGAAATAAGCAACTAACAGATGCAGAGACGAGATGGCAGCCAAGCTTCTCCAGAAGTAATTAAGCTGAACCAGGCTCCTCATCGTGGTAAGCCTGGCCAGCCACATCCCTGAAAGCAGCCTCAACTGGCCTTTGACTAGGCCAGCTAAAGTGAGACCTGTTTTTCCCTGAGACTCACAGAAGTGGGTTGTGTGGCAGAAAACAGGTCTGCCACTGTCTGTCTGTTGCCTCCAGACACTGGGAACTTTTGAGGCCTTAACAAAGCAGCTTGGAATGCTGCCTGGCCCAGTACAGACAATCCTGGCAGCTGCCCCACCAGCCAGTATCCACTAAGCACCCTATGCATGGGGAGCAATGCACAGTCACAACCAGAGGGAAAGGGACAGAGCTGGCAGTGTAGCTCTGTACTAAATGCTTGCCTAGCATGCACAGGCCCTGAGTTCAATTCCCAGCATGTGGGTTTGGGTTGGGGATAGGTTGAGGTCTGTTCTCCAGCTGTCTGTTCTCTGGAGCGTTTTCTCCAAGGTGGCTGACCAGTGAGCTGATGCCTAGCTTGGTTACCAGCCTGTCTCTGTCTCTCTCTCTCTCTCTCCCCCCCTTTCTTTCTTACTTACTTACTTTCTTTCTTTCTTTCTTTCTTTCTTTCATGTATGTGTTTGTGTAGAGGTTTCAGGTATACATGTATAGGTGCATATACATATGTACATATGTGCACAGGAGGCCAAAGGTCAACTTCAGATGTTCCTCAAGCACCATTCACCTTGCTTTTTGGGACAGATCTCTCACAAGCCTGGAGCTCACCAAGTGGGCTAGATTGTCTACCTCCCAAAGGCTAAGACGACAAGCATGTGCCACCGTGTCTGACTTTTTATATGGATTCTAGGGATCAAAATCAGATCCTTGGGGCTAGAGAGATGGCTCAGTGGTTAAGAGCACTGACTGCTCTTACAGAAGACCTGGTTTTGATTCCCAGCACCTACATGGCAGCTAACAACCATTTATAACTCCAGTTCCAGGGGATCCAATGCCCTCTTCTGACCTCTGCAGGCACTGCATGACATGGGTGCACTGATACACATGCAGGCAATACATTCATACACATAAAAAAAATTTAAAAAAAAAATCAGGTC